TATATATATTAATATATATTAATATATATATATATATACATACATACTGAACTGGATTGTTTTTTTCTTCTATTTAACATCATACATCTATAGCAGTCTTTATACTGCAAACATAGTAATGCATTGCAGGTTCATAGTTTTAATATAGATGATCTTTAAAAAATACAGGTGAATGTCAAATGAATGGCAAAAACGTATGCACCTGTTGATCCAGTCAGTCGTTTACGCATTTCGGCTTGACATTTACTGATGGGTCGGATGACCTCTGAACTGGCTCTCACTCGTGGGTTATACACCTACACACAATACCACACAGAAAATATGAATTTACAGTCACAAGGCTTGGAGATAAGTATTCTTTTGGCTACTCAAATATATTTGCAAAATAGCAAACTTTTGATTCGAAAATCTGCAAAAACAAAATGCAGTAAACCAAACTTTTCAGCACACTCACTAATCTCTTCTCCACTCCAGTATCGATGACAAATGTAATGGTGTCTACCAGCCAAAACAGATCCTCTGATTGGCTACAGGAAATGAAGACCCGCCTTCTCTTCTGTGGGCTTTCTGTGATTTGTGGACACATTCCAGTGTGTCCGGGACACAGTGGTACAGCTATCAGCTCTCCCAGAGATACACTCATCCTGGTCGCTTCTTTAGTGAGAATATTACAGGCACAGACCACCTCCTGAAACACATACACACATACAGAGAGACAGACAAGCACAATCAACAGAAAACCCCTTTTAATCTCAATAAAGATTTTTACACGTTCCGAGAGAAAAATGAGCGGTGCAGTGCAAGATGGTTGCTAGGTTGTTCTGGGTGAATGCAAGCATATTCTGGAAGTTGCTTTTTCGTTGCTTGGTGGTCGCTATGGTATTCTGGATGGTTGCTTGGTCATTGCTAGGTGGTTGCTAGGGGATTTTGGATGATTGTTTAGTCATTGCTAGATGGTTTCTAAGTTCTACTAGGGTGTTCAATTGGTTGTTAGGGTATACTAGGTGGTTGCTAGGGTGTTCTGGGTGGTTGTTAGGTGGTTGCTAGGGTGCTCTTGGCAGTAGCTAGGTGGTTGTTAGGGATTTCTGAATGGCTGCTTGGTCATTGCTACATGGTTTCTAAGTTCTGGGTGGTTGCTAGGGTATTCTGGATGATGATTAGTTGTTGCTATGTGGTTGCTAGGGTGTTCTAATGGTTGATAGGGTATTCTTGGTGGTTGCTAGGTGTTTGCTAGGGTGTTCTGGGTGGTTTCTTAGTCTTTGCTTGGCAGTCGCTATTCTGGGTGTTGCTTAGTTGTTGCTAGGGTATTTTGGACGATTACTTAGTCATTGTTATATGGTTTCTAAGTTCTGGGTGGTTACTAGGGTGTTCAAATGGTTGTTAGGGTATAATATGTGGTTGCTAGGGTGTTCTGAGCAGTAGCTAGGTGGTTGTTAGGATATTCTAAATGGCTGCTTGGTCATTGCTAGGTGGTTTCTAGGGTATTCATGATGATGATTAGTTGTTGCTATGTGGTTTCTAGGGTATTCTATGTGTTTGTTAAGGTGTTCTGGGTGGTTTCTCAGTCACTGCTAGGTGGTTGCTAGGGTATTCTGGGGGTTGCTTCGTTGTTGCTAGGGTATTCTGGACAGATCCTTGGTCATTTCTATGTGGTTTCTAAGGAGTTCTGGGTGGTTGCTAGGTGGTTTCTTAAAGGCTTGTGTGAAAAGAGTCCTGCACACTGATGTTTCTGTGATATTCTGGTCTCTGAATATGGTTTAGGTCCCTCATTTAATGAAAGTCTTGGATTTTTACACCCGTTTTATCATCCAGCAGATGAAAATCATAATGGGTTAGAAAAGTAACAGCACACCTCACCTCAATTAGATATATGATTTGATTAATGTGATTTTAAAGGGCAGAGCCACAGTAACAGTGAAAGAGCCGAGTGGACGTATTCATTCAGATGCAGCTGACCGTGCTGAACACCAAATGGAGAACATTGTGTTAGTGCTGTTTGCTACAGTAAGCATCACTATTACTACTGATAAAAGTTACAATTAGGGATTTGAACAAACTCCAACCCCATTTTCTGTATGCAACTAGTCCCCTTGTTGGTGTGCTATTAGAAAAGCAACTTGAAGATGGGACTCATATCATGTTTACACACCAGAATATCACAGAGGCATTTGATGGTGGACAGTTGTGACAGTAAAGTGATAGTATAATGTACAAAAGATTTCTGTTTTAAATAAATGCTGTTCTTTTGAACTTTTTCACAGCACAACTGTTTTCAACAATAATCAGAAATGTTTCTTGAGCATCAAATCAGCATATTAGAATGATTTCTGAAGGATCATGTGACACTGAAGACTGGAGTAATGATGATGAAAATTCAGCTTTGCATCACAGGAATAAATTACATTTTACAATATATTCAAATAGAAAACAGTTCATTTCAATTGCTAAATTATTTCACAATTTTACAGTTTTTATTGTATTTTTGCTCAAATAAATGCAGCACTGGCTGATACTGCTTTCAAAAACATAAAAACCTCTGAACATTAGTGTGCAAATCAACACATAAATTCTCTTATCTATTTGGTCAGTGAGCGTGCATGCATTCATTCATTCCTTCATTCATCAAATATTCACTTTTAGTGTTAATACGCAACTCTCCAGTTCCAGGATCATCACAGGTTATCGATGGTTGATTGTCCAGATAATTTATGCTTGCATTATTGCTACAATAAACTGTAATGCATAAAGGATCATGGGTTGTTCTAATCCACGAACACGTTTCATCTCACCTGCTCAGATGCTAAAAACACAGCTACGTCTCCTGGCTCTCTGGACCGATGGACCTCCAGCGCGAGTCTCAGAGCCGAATAGAAGCTTTCAGCGCTGCTGCTGTTGCTGTGGATCACTTCCCCGGCGCACGGGGCGTCCAGGTGCAGGCATGGGACGTTCCCGTAGTGTGTGAGGAGTGTGTCTGAAGCAGGCGGAGCGGACAGGACCACCACTCTGAGCTCGGGCTGCTGGAGAAGCACCTCTCTCAGCAGACCCAGGAGAACATCTGTGCTCACGGTCCTCTCGTGGGCCTGGTCTATCACCACCACCCCATAATGCTCCAGCATGGGGTCTGACATCATCTCCCGCAGCAGGACGTCATCAGTGCAGAACCTGCAACCAAGACGTAGTTTAGGTTTTGACATTTGCAGATAAATATCCTACAAAATATGCAGATGTAGAAAGATGCACATACATATATTTGTTTCTATTTATATATTTTAAGACATTTGATGACATATTTCTATAATAAAATAAAATAAGACATTTAAATAGATGTCTTTATAAAATAAAATATGGATTTGTTTTATTAAAATGTTTTTAGACATTTGAAAATACATTATGTTATATACATAATGACAAGACATTTAATTAGACATTTCTTTATAAACTAAAATATGGATTTTTTGTAATGTTTTTAGACATTTGACTAGACATATTTCTATAAAATAAGACATTTGATGAGACACTTTTTAAAATAAAACAAGACATTTGATCAAACAATTCTTTATGAAATAAAATAAAAAAATTTCCTATGTTTTTTATTAAAATGTTTTAGACATTTGATTAGACATATTTCTGTAATATAATATAATATTCGATAAGATGTTTTTCTAAAATCTTTTTTTTTATGTTTTTAGACATATTTGACTAGAAAATTTTCTATAATAAAATAAAATAAAGTAATTTGATTAGATATTTCTTTATAAAATAAAATTAAAAGGATGTTTTTCTATCATCTGATCAAAGTAATAGTACACTTCTCAATAAATTACATGATTTAAGGTATCAATGAATATTCATGTATATTACATTTAATTTTATTATTATAAATCAAGCACGCCAAAACCCTATTATTTTTAATAGTGTTAAAAATACCCTATACCCCCCCCCCCCAAAAAAAAACCCCCACATTGGCAGAGACTATTCAGTAGCGCTATCCTCCATAACCAAATCTACAGCAAAGCGAGAGACCGAGAAATGCCTCGCTGCCCTCCAGTGACCCGTATAATAAAGCAAAAAGGCCTCAAGTATTTCAGACATTTGAGAAGACGGCACATTCTTCTCATGCTTTAGCTGGGCAAACCAAAGCACAAAACTAAAATATCCCCAACTCGAAAACCTTCAGTTACAGTGTGGATCATTTCAGTGAGGTTTTTCACACTTTTGAGGGCTGCATGCATGAGAGTTTCACACAGACCTGAGAATAGTATCGTTGGAGCAGCACGTCTCCAGCGGGATGCTGTATCCAATCTCGTGGCCGATGTTTATGTCCATCTCGTCTGCAACACGGAGGGCCAAATCGACAGCCTGCCGCCTCTGGATCTGACTGCACACCACCACACCGTGCTGGTACTGCGCAGACAGACAGAACTCTGCACACCATTGAGGGATCTGAAGACATGAACACATACTATCAGCACCTGGATGCACTCGACTACAACATTACAGAAGCCTTCAGAAAAAAAAAGTATGTTAATCAAATATGACAGTTATTTCAGTATCCTGTGGATGGCTTTCTCTGCAGTTAGTCCACATTAAGAGCCATTCTTGACTTGTTTAACAGCTGCAGGTTTAGACCTTCAGCCTGAGCAGTCTGGGGAAATCTCAACAGCATCTGCTGAGGACAGGCAGGTCGGGTGAACTGAACAGATGCAAGGCTTCCTATTTCCACTTAACACACAATGCACACACATCCGCACATTTACAAACTGCAAATTGTAAAATGCAATATGCAAAGTATGCAAAAATGCCAAATAAACACAGATTCTACTGATCTGTAACTTACCAGATGATAAAACACATGAAAAAATACCATCACTTTTTATTTTATTCAAATTTTTTTTTGTGGATCTGTTTTTGCTGGAAAAAAAAAATCAGTTCTTAATCAGTAGCACTTGTTTCGAGTATCCTTAAACATTCCTGAAATGCAAAATTGCACATTAAGACATTATTTTAAGACTTTCATATTTTAAAATGAATAAATAAAACTACCTACACTACCAGTCAACGTTTGGAATAATTATGACATTTTAATATTTTTGAAAGCAGTCTCTTATGCAAGGCTGCATTTATTTGATAAAAATACAGTAAAACATTTATGAAATATTGTATTTGAATATATTTTAAAATGTAATTTATTTCTGTGCTGGAAAAGCTGAATTTTCAGCATCATTACTCCAGTCTTCAGTGTCACATGATCCTTCAGAAATCATCTAAACCGTTGATTTATTATTATTGGTGCACTATTATTAATATTAATGGTTCTTATTATTAACGATATTGATATTGGTTGATATTGCAGAGCATAAGAGATTATTTCAAAAACATTAAAAACTTTTAGAAGTGTAAAACTAAATAAATGTATTATTTCTAAAATATTTTTTTTTCTTTCACAATTGCTAAACTGAAATGATATAAAAATGAAAGCAGAGGCAAAAAGTCTGTTACGACTGACCGGACCATCAGCTGAATGGATAGTGTTTGTTCATAGGGTTCAGCACAATGGTTGCAGCTGACTCACAGCAAACAGTCTCACCACACAGAACTGATGACCTCACTTAAAATGATTAATAAAGTATATTTGCTCAGATTTAAGACGTCATGATCAGGCCACATGCATTGAGAGACAGAGAGACCTCAAAACAGCAGGTATGAAACTCATATCATGTACAAGCACTGCTGAAACTATGCATTGTTCATCTATTATGTTCAATGTTAAGCATGTCTGGAATCTGAACCGCAATGGAATGGCATTTAATGAATTTACTGACAAATTATATAAAGCTGAGGAGATTTGTCAATCCAATACAAGATACAATAATTATATGATGCCTAGTTATTCCAAGATATGTACAACAGTCCATTTTCTCAATTGATTAGACATAAACACAGTATTAAAAAAAGAAAAAGAAAAAAGAAAAACATCTGCAGTTCCATGGTTTCTCTAGTTGTTTTTAGCCATAAATTCTTATTTTTATTAAGTTGTGGATTTGGATATATATTTAGACATTCTCAAAGACATGTTTTTTCAAATGTACAAAAACCAGGAGTGGCAAATTATTAAGTTAATGATTATTTTTTCCTTACATTATAATCGTTATGATCACAACATGTAATCATTTTCTTAATCGTGTTCATCGTTTCTGCTTGAATACATCATTCATTTACTGCATGATTTGTTTTATCCTAAAACAGTACATTTCTGCCATATGGACATCGCTTTAACAGTCACCTCTGATAACAAATTACTCTTAATTGTAATGTAGAAACATGTATCTCCTGTAAACCTACTTTAAAATGATACGTATCGAAAAGCATTATACAAATAAACATGAATTGGAAAATTTTTTTAATAAAATAATTATAAATAATTAAATCATCAGGGCTCACACCAGTGCTATTTTAATATCAGCGAGATAATACTATACTTTTAATTCTTTTTTAATTAGTTTTTTTTATATATTGTGCATTTTCATTTTACTTTGTTAAAGTGTTAGTAATTTTGTTGTGTTTTTGTAATTTTTATTATTAGTATTATTTTTAATGTGTATATATTTTTTTATAATCATTATTTGTTTTTTCTTCAGTTTTTGTTATTTTAGGATATGAAGTTAAACCAAATAAAAATGAGAATGTGAGTTGTATGTGGACATTCCTGACAAGCTGGACGTTACTCCTCTAATGATGGCGGTGATGAAAGGGCTTTACTATCTATCTATCTATCTATCTAGTGTTTTGTGTTCTAGTGGAGTTCAGCTTTTGGTGCATCAGTGAAGGAGTGGTAAAGACAGGGGAGCTTTTCTTCCAGTGCTATCAGCTCTTTTGTGTGTTTCTCATGGTGTGAACCTGTTGGTCTTGTGTGTGTGTGTGTGTGTGTGTGTAGTGAATCAGCCTGATGCTCATGTGTTTCCACCTGGATGTGGTGAAGAGGAGCTCTCGGGACGGATCGGGCTGCTGCGCTCTGCACTGGGCCGCAGCTGGAGGACACCTGCCCCTCCTGCAGTACCTCATACAGGACGGATGTGAAGTGAGAGGACCACTAACATAAACATTCAGTGTCTGGTTGTAGTTGTACCTGATTTACACCTCATCAATGCCACAGGTCGATGTTCGGGATGCCCCTCATGATCGTATCGGTCATAACCGGAGACACAGCTGCAGCTTCACTGTTAATCACAGCTGGTGCTGATGTTAATGTTCAAGACAGAGACGGGAAAACACCACTGATGGTCAGAACTCAAACTCTGAAACTGTACTGTAATATCTCAGCATGTAATAAACCACTAAATAAGCAGGGGAGGCCGGGGCTAGTTGTCCATATTTCTCACTCTAGGTTTATTTTTGTGTAACATTATATATATATATATATATATATATATATACTCTCCCACCTTCAATACCACGACTGAGGTGCCCTTGAGCAAGGCACCGAACCCCCAACTGCTCCCCAGGTGTCGCAGCTGCAAAAAATGGCTGCCCACTGCTCCGGGTGTGTGTGTGTTCACGGTGTGTGTGCACTTTGGATGGGATAAATGCAGAGCACTAATTCAGAGTATGGGTCACCATACTTGGCCACATGTCACTTCTCTTCACGTCACTAACTAGTTAAGACTTAAAAGACATTTGAGTTATGAAAGAGCAATACAATGTTCCTCTTGGCTTATTCTCAAATCATAAAGCACATTTTCTGGATTCACCAATCTTGACTGGTCTCTTTCTCTGTGTTTCTGAAAATATGGCTACATGGCCATGAAATCAAGGCCTGGTTTGGCTTTCTGCCTCTCAGATCTTTCCAGTCAGTAAAGGTCTTCTCAAAGCTGGGATCTCCTGAGTGAACCGTCGATCTGAACATCCGACAGGTTACAGGAACACAACTGCATTACAACATCGGTGTTTGTATCTTCTCTACGAGCGTTGAAATCAACACAAGCTGGATTTTGGTGCATATAATTTGTTGCAAATGTTTTCAAACTCACAAAAAAAAGAGAAACAAGACCTGACCATGTGAAATGGAGTGAATTCAGAACATTATTCAGCTGCACAGTATTGTATACCTTCCGTGAATGTCCAGGTCATATTTCACCTACAAATCAAAAGGAAGTAGTAAGAAATTATGTTTTTCTTACAAAAATAGAGCCTATTAAAAATTATTTCAGAGACTGGAAAATAAACTGAAGCTTATTTTTAACATTAAGATTTCCATGACAAAAATTAAGCGCATTTTCCACTCAAATTCGCTCTATATGAGATCTGCATGGAGGAATGGGCCAAAATACCAGCAACAGTGTGTGACAACCTTGTGAAGACTTACAGAAAACGTTTGACCTCTGTCATTGCCACCAAAGGGTATATAACAAAGTATTGAGATTAAATTTTGTTATTGACCCAATACTTATTTTCCACCATAATTTGCAAATAAATTCTTTAAAAATCCTACAATGTGATTTTCTGGATTTTTTTTTCTCATTTTGTCTCTCATAGTTGAGGTATACCTATGATGAAAATTACAGGCCTCTCTCATCTTTTTAAGTGGGAGAACTTGCACAATTGGTGGCTGACTAAATACTTTTTTTCCCCACTGTATACCTTCCGTGAATGTCCAGGTCATATTTCACCTACAAATCAAAAGGAAGTAGTAAGAAATTATGTTTTTCTTACAAAAATAGAGCCTATTAAAAATAATTTCAGAGACTGGAAAATAAACTGAAGCTTATTTTTAACATTAAGATTTCCATGACAAAAATTAAGCACATTTTCCACTCAAATTTCCATTAATGCAAAGCAAAAAAAAATTAAATAATAATAAATTTAAATTGTAATATTTATATATTTGTTTTACTGCTTTGCTGCTAATGTTTTGCATTTTACATATAAAAAAATACAACTGTAACATGCCTGAATATTTCATTTTGTTTTAAATTCTAATAATTATCTATGATGATTCTCATTACTTTTTTTTTTTTACTATAAAATTACTTTATATCAGTAATGAGAATCATCAAAGATAATATTTAGAATGAAAAAATGAGCAAAATATTCATCTAAAATATGAGGGGGAAATAAGCTTCATTGTCTTAGAATTAAAAACAAAATACTTTAAAATAATAAATAGAGCAAAAAAAACAAAAAACATTTTGCCTATTTTTTGCCTAAAAATACCTATTTTACTTTATGTTAAATTTTATTTATTATTTTGTTCCCTTTAATTTGGGATAAAATGTGACCTGGACATGTTATTGTGAGATAATATTCATATACAGTAGGTGTCTTCAACATCCCTTAAGCATCACTGCAATTGTACTTCAGGTTTAATCATGCATGTCTGAAATATATAATAAAAATGGCCATTAAATCATATGAAATTATTAAAAAGCCCTTTTCATATACCAAATGACATCACAAATACAGAACCATCAACTCCCAATTCACGTTTCCATTTAAATCTGGTTTTCAATCCAGTTTAGCGTCCAAATGATGTGGTTCATGTTCACAGATAACACGTCTCATCTTTATCTGCTGGTACACAGTCGAAAAATGTCAAAACAACAATAGCAACAACGACAACAGGACAACCAGGTAAACGTGGGTGAACCACCAGTTGCTACGATTGAGAAAGTGTCAACCACAGTGCACTGTGCTCAAATAAATACGCTGGTAACCGACATAAATAACGCGTGACATGTACCTGAGCTTGGACTCATAGCACCGTTTAAAGGGAGAGCACCGCGGGGGTCAAAGGTCACCCCTCGCATCACCATGTGTCCCGCAGAGGTTCATAGTGCAAAAAGCAAGCGTCTCCAGGGATGAGATCACTTCTGTCCGTCTCTCAGCTGCTGAACTTCACTCCGGCTGTGAAGTGAGGCTTTGGCAGGGTGGGCGGCTGTTTAGGAGGAGGCCTGCAAGTCCAGTAATGGGTTAATCAAAATAATTTACTCATCCGCAGGCCATTCAAGATGTGAATGTGTTTGTTTCTTTGCCGGAACTGATTTGGAGAAATGCAGCATTCCATCACTTGCTCATCAATGGCTCCTCTGCAGTGAATGGGTGCCGTCAGAATGAGAGTCCAAACAGCTGATAAAAACATCACAATAATCCACAAGTAATCCACACAACTCCAGTCCATCACTTAACATCTTGTGAAGAGAAAAGTTGCGTGCTTGTAAGAAACAAATCCATCATTAGTGCGTTTTTAACGTTTTTTCTGACCAAAATAAGAATCCATAATAACGCTTCATCCAATGAAAAAGTCCATCTCCTGTTGTCCTCTCACATCAAAATTCACTAAAAACATCACAATAATCCACAAGTAATCCACACAACTCCAGTCCATCACTTAACATCTTGTGAAGAGAAAAGTTGCGTGCTTGTAAGAAACAAATCCATCATTAGTGCGTTTTTAACTTCAAACCATTTTTTCTGACCAAAATAAGAATCCATAATAACGCTTCATCCAATGAAAAAGTCCATCTCCTGTTGTCCTCTCACATCAAAATTCACCCGCATATTTGTTTAGAGCGGTTTTGGTTTGTAAACGGTGCATAATTTCTCTCCTTATTCAGACAAGATGACTTTTTCATTGGAGAAAGCGTTATTATGGATTATGGACTAATTTCAGGTGGAAGCAACGGTTTGAAGTTAAAATTGTCTTGATGGATTTGTTTCTTAAAAAGACGCAGATTTTCTCTTCTCCAGATGTTAAAGGGATAGTTCACCCAAAAATTTAAATTCGGTCATTAATTACTCACCCTCATGTCGTTCCAAACCCGTAAGACCTTCGTTCATCTTCGGAACACAAATTAAGATATTTTTGATGAAATGTGAGCGCTCTCAGACCCTGCATAGACAGCAACGCAACTGTAATGTTCCCAGGTCCAGAAACGTAGTAAGGACATCGGTAAAACTGTGCATGTGACATCAGTGGCTCAACTTCATTTTTGCGAAGCTACGAGAATACTTTGAACGCAAAGAAAACAAATAATTTTTTCAACAATTCTTCTTCCCCGAGTTACGTCTTCCGCCATTTTGGAGAGTATCACAATATATACGCATGCTTTCTTCTAAGCGTGAACAACGCTGATTACATTCATGCGCGATTTCTCCCCCGAACGTAAACAACGTTGATTACGTCGATTACGCTCTTGGGTACTCTCCAAAATGGCGGAAGACGTAGCTCGGGGGAAAAGAACTGTGAAATAAATTGTTATATTTGTTTTCTTTGTGCTCAAAAAGTATTCCCGTAGCTTCGCAAAAATGAAGTTGAGCCACTGATGTCACATGGACTGTTTTACCGATGTCCTTACTACGTTTCTGGACCTGGGAACATTACAGTTGCTGTCTATGCAGAGCTCTCACATTTCATCAAAAATATCTTAATTTGTGTTCCAGGGACGTGCACAGACATTTTGAGGGGCAGGGGCTCAAGTGGAAAAATGGTCTAAATACTAGACTAAATACTTAGCTAACTTACTTGGTAGCTCCCTCATGATTCATTGATGTTAGCAAGACAAATGACAAACCATATTTGCCTTTTGGATAATTAGCTGTAAATTCGAGGCACAGGTAGCTTAGTCTGTTGTTCATCACCACTCACCTCCACACCAAGACAAACACAGTGGAAAGGGAGGGAGGGCTTCACTTTTGTGTCTCTCTGCCTGTCTGTGATGCGCATGTGCAGATCAATGTGTGCTACACTGCTGTGCTGCGCCTGCGCCGACCTGACATTTAGATTTTTTTATTTGTTTGACAGTGAAAGCTGTGCGCAAACAGAAACACGCACAAATATATACATATATTCATTTATTAAAAAATAAATAAATAAATTATCCCCAGAAAAAAGGGCACTTTCTCTTGAGGAAGAAAAAGGGCAGGTGCTCAAGCCCCCTTTGATGTCTGTGTGTGCACGTGCCTGTTGTGTTCTGAAGATGAATGAAGGTCTTACGGGTTTGGAACGACATGAGGCCGAGGGCGAGTAATTAATGACAGAATTTTCCTTTTTGGGTGAACTAACCCTTTAACTGATGGACTGGAGAGGTGTGGATTACTTGTGCATTATTGTGATGTTTTTATCAGCTGTTTGGACTCTCATTCTGATGGCACCCATTCACTGCAGAGGAGCGACGGCCGAGGGCGAGTAATTAATGACAGAATTTTCCTTTTTGGGTGAACTAACCCTTTAACTGATGGACTGGAGAGGTGTGGATTACTTGTGCATTATTGTGATGTTTTTATCAGCTGTTTGGACTCTCATTCTGACGGCACCCATTCACTGCAGAGGAGCGACTGCTGAGCAAGTGATGCAATGCTACATTTCTACAAAGATGATGAAGAAACAAATTCATCTACATCTTGGATGGCCTGAGGGTGAGGACAGTTTCAGCCAATTTTCTTTTTTGGGTGAACTATTTCTTTAATGATTTGACATTTTCAGCAGGTGTTCATGGATGTGTTTGCACCTGGAGGGCTGTGGGTGAGGCGGAGCGGGTCGCGGGGCGGCTGGGGTCGGGATGGGAGCTGGAAGTCGCACGGCAGACGGGGTCCGAATCACTCTGACGTTTCCACTCAGCGGGTCTGCGGGAAGAGGCTTCTGGGGTGGACTGGGCTTCTCGAATGCCTAGAGAAATGAGAGGAGCTAAACTGAGTACAGGAGGAAGAACACACCAACACAAGTTCTCATGAAGTTCCTTGAGAAAGGGATAGTCTCACATGAGTAGATTTACTCATTTATCAAGCATGATTAATATACGTTGTGATAAACAAGATCTTTCATATATTGATTTTTGACAATGGAGAGCAATGGAAAAAGACTCCACTAAATCAGTGCTGTTATTGCTAACTAAAACTATCAAAAATGGTTTTCATTGTGAAATAAAGCTGAAATAAAATAAAATATAAATGAAAAAAAATCTGTCATTGACTAAAACTAAAATTTCAGTGATTGAAATAAAGCTGAAATACAATATAAATATCTAGATGGAAAAATCTGTGCTGTTAATTAAAACTATTGAAATATTTTTTTTGTAATTGAATTAAAGATGAAATAAAATAAATATATTATGAAAAACTTAAACTTAGCAAAAAAAAGAGAAATTAAATAAGTTGAAAATTGTTTCAAAGTATTAAAATTATTAAAACTAAAATAAATTAAAGTAAAAAATATATAAAATATATGAAAATATAAACATTGACAAAAAAAAAAGTAAAAAATATATATATTCAAAAAATATACTATAATGGTATATAAATAATACTAAAATAACACTACAGTAAATCTCACGTGAGTTTCAGATGAAGATCTCAAAGTTTCAAATTGCATCCAGCATACTGAAGTCTGCAACAGAGTCAATTTGAACTTTTGAATTGCTATTCACACTCCTTTTTATAGCTCCGTAGTCTTACTGTTTGTCACCAGCTGTCTCATTGATGTCTATTTTTATTCCTCCAAATGAGTTTTAGCAACCCAGAGAAGTAACACATTCTTTGGATAGGCAATTTAATACTTTTGTGTTCCAGGGAAAGAAACAATATAAGGGTTAATACTGACAGACCTTTCATTTTTGCTCCCTAACAAACTCTTGATAAAACTAGCTTCCCTCTTTTGTCCACCTGATGGCAGTACAAGCTAATCTGCTGAATATGGCTTCACTGCTGCCATGGCGACTCTCTCCAGGGGTCATGTGACATGTTCATATGTTCCAAATCTACATGCTGACTATGAGGTAATGATAGCCTGCTACCTGCTCTCCATCTGGTCCTCATTCTCTCTCATCTCTACAGAGATCCAAACATGATTTCACAGCTCACGTCACTCTCTCTTTTACATTTTAATAAAGAGCTGAATTGCTCATATCTCAAGCGTCGCATGATTGCTGATGACAGAGCTCTTTGTTTTTGTAGCTGATAAAAAGATCTTGAGATGGAGGAAGTCTCAAGTGTCTCCTCACTAACGCTTCCCCGATGGAAAGTTCTCAAGAGCTGAATCTGCCATGATAACACTTCTGGTTAATGAAGCAGCCTGAGGTCACGCTGGACATGTCTGAGGTCTTCTGTTCATCATCTCATTTCACTGCTGACTGCCGACATCTTATGAGATCACACTGATATCCGATTGATTCCAAGGATGAATTCACATCAAATTACTTATCTCAGGATGTTTGAGTTTAACGGTACACTATCATTCAAAAGTTTGGAGTAATTTATACTTTTATTCAGCAAGTGCCCTAGCAATCATGCAGAACACTCTAGCAACACCATAACAACAGCCTAGAAACCGTCGAGAACCACCAGAACACCCTAACAACCCCCTATCAACCACCTAGCAACACCCTAACAACCAACCAGAACACCTTAGCAACCACCTAACACCCTAACAACCAACCAGAACACCTTAGCAACCACCTAGCAGTGCCCTGGCAATCACACAGAACACACTAGCAACACCCTTACAACTCCCTAGAAACCATCCAGAACCACCAGAACACCCTAGCAATGCCCTATCAACCAACCAGAACACCTTAGCAACCACCTAGCAACACCCTATCAACCACCAACCAGAACCGCTTTATCAACCACGTTGCAGTGCCCTAGCAAATCACACAGAACACACTTGCAACAACCTAACAACTCCCTAGAAACCATCCAGAACACCCTATCAACCATCTAACACCCTAACAACCACCAAGCAACACTCTAGCAATCACACAGAACACACTTGCAACCACCTAACAACTCCCTAGAAACCATCCAGAACCACCAGAACACCCTAGCAATGCCCTATCAACCAACCAGAACACCTTAGCAACCACCTAGCAACACCCTATCAACCACCAACCAGAACCGCTTTATCAACCACGTTGCAGTGCCCTAGCAATCACACAGAACACACTTGCAACAACCTAACAACTCCCTAGAAACCATCCAGAACACCCTATCAACCATCTAACACCCTAACAACCACCAAGCAACACTCTAGCAATCACACAGAACACACTTGCAACCACCTAACAACTCCCTAGAAACCATCCAGAACACCCTGGCAATTGCCAGGCAACCACACTATAAACATAATAATCAGAACAATTAATCAGAGCAACTGCATAGCAACACCCTTGCTCAAATCTGAAACAAAAAGTGTTTTACAGTCTGATGCCATATGAATTTTTTTTTAATTTCCAATAACTTTTTATTCTCTAGTTATTTCACATGAGTTCAATTCCCATGCAGAGCATGAACTGATAAAATATAAACCTCGAAAGCAATTAAAGTCACTCTGGATAAAAGCACCTGCGGAATGGAATTGAATGAAATGGAAATGTGAGTGAGTGAATGAATGAATGAATCTAAAATAGCAGCTCAAGAACCCCATACAGCTACAAATGGATCTGAAACCAAGAGCAACTTAAGAACACTAAGTTTTGAAGTGTGTTGGTTCATGGTTATTAGGTGATGTTTTAGCAAGGTTTTGTGTTGTGTCTCTTGTTGTCTCTTGTGAGGGCTCATCTTCACCATTCACCCATCTATTACCTTCCTCTTCCTGCAATCTGTCTCTCCACAGGTCGTCTTATAAAACAGACAACGACTCTCTTTTTACAAGCAGGTTTTTATGGGAGAAAACCACAAATTGCTACGTATTATCAAAGAAAAGGCAGGCATGTGGACTGTCCACAGACACAGCACCTCAGGTAATTGACTTGAGCCAAACATCTCCATTTTAGACATTATTTAATGCACATTTTCTGTCTTTTGTTTTTGGCCTCTTTTAAAGAGGTGTTTGCAAATGGTAGAACAATTAAGATTATTATTCAATACATGTTGAAGTGTCCTCACGAGGTTAATTAACATTATTTTGTGAACCTCATTACTTTGACAGCAGATGATAGAGGCTGCTGAATTTACATAACTACTTCTAGACGTATATATATTAGGACTGGAAATTTAATAATCAAAATAATGTATTTATATGCTGGTTATTTAATCAAGTGAATTGCATACATCAATACACACTGAGAAAACCCCCAAAATGAACATAATTCCAAGATATTATTGTGTCAGAAGAGTAAAAAGTGGGTTTAGAAGTCAAAATTATTAATTTCCTTATTTCACTGAACATAAGTCGATCAATGACCTATAGCCCACAGCTTAATATAGTCTGCCTCAGACAGATTGACAAACTCAATTTCAAAATGCATTGCTATTTCAAAACCTTGAGTTTTCAGTTCCATTCTGATCGACTCACTCAGTCTTTTATTGGCTGGCCAGAGGCTTCACTCTGTGTTTTCTTTGGATTGCATGAAACTCTGAACATACTTGAGATTTAATACGACATAGAGCTCTAATGAAAGAGGCCTGCTCACACCACTGCAGCTCCAGCATTAAACTGTAAAACTATTATAAAATACTACAGCACGTGCATTAAAAATGAGCTCTAACTCACCATTGCAACACTGCTGGGGAATGAGAGATCGATTAAAATAAATTAAATCAGTTAAGCACAATGTACCTGCTGACATGTATAGAAGTGTACACAATGTTATTATGAGTGGTGTGATTGCTCATTATAGTTATTGACTTGAACAAACCCCCAACGGTAAATATCAAAATCAGTGTGCTATTATTTTTCTCATTACCAGACTGATTTTCACCTGCTGAATGATAAAACGGGTAAAAAAAAAAATCCCACAGACACACTTTGAAGGAGGGACCATTGACATATCTAGAGACAAACGTACAGAAAACCCTAGCAAACACCTAAAAATTCCCCAAACCCCTCATAGAACCCCAACCACATAACAACAAACAAGGTACCATCCAGAACACCCTAGCAACACCCTGGTGATCATCCAAAACATCCCACAACACTCTAGAAACTACCTAACACCCTAACAACCATACAGAACACCCTAACAATGTCCTAACCATGCAGACCACCCTTGCAATACCCTGGTGATCACCCAGAACCACCCAAAACACTCTAACAACTATCTAACACCCTAACAACCATATGGAACAACCTAGTAACCACCCAACAATGCCCTAGCAACTACCAACAACACCCTAGCAATGACCCAGTACCACCCAGAACACCCTTGCAACACCTAACAACACCCTAGAAACCAACCAGAAAACCTTAGCAACCACCCAGGACACACTAGTGAACACCTATCAATACCTTAGCAACCACCCAGTACCACCTAGAACATACTAGAACCAACCTAGCAATACCCTTGCAACCACCCAGAACACTCTAGAAACCTTGCAGAACACCCTAGAAACCACCTAACAATAACAACCTAGCAACCACCCAGAATGCCATAATGCTGTAGCACCCACTCAGAACCACCCAGAACACCCTAGCAACCATCTAGAACCACCCAGAATGCCCTAGCAATCACCAAGAACCACCCATTACAAACTACTTAACACCCTAACAACCACCCAAAAACACCCTACCAGTGCCCTAGCCACCACTCAAAACACCCAGTCTTTTTTTTTTATATGCAACTCCTGCAGCGCTGGCATATTTCCACTCACCATGGCGATCTTGCAGACGTTTTGGCAGGCCAGGCTACGGCCGGCCGCTCCCGCTGCTGGAGCGGATGTGTGTGTGAGTGCTGGTGGAGGGGCTCTGGGTGGAGTCGAGTGTGTGTGTGGTGGCGTCAGTGGCAGGCCGAGTGCCAGCGGCAGCGGGTGAGAGAGGTGGACCAGAGGGCACGGGGGCAGCCGGCGGAGACCATGAGACGGAACCACAGAGTCCACCGTCTGGAGAGGAGACTGGGGCTACAGAGAGACAGATAAAGATGTGTCACACAGGCTCTCCATCATGTTTGACTGACAATGAATATTTCAACAAACATTAAACATGCAAGATGCACAAATCAATAAATCAGCGAAACACTTAAAGGTAAGAAATGCTGTTGATATTTGAAATCCCTAAAACAAACTCGCCCCCACCCAAAAGGATCACACCCCTATCTTGATAGCAACGCAACACAGACACCTCCCCCATCAAACATGGACACGGCCCTTACTGATGATTGGCTACAAGTGTGTTTTGGTGCTCAGTGAGATCCACTTCCAACAGAGTTTCTCAGAAACCACTTACCGTACCTTTAACAGAACGGAAGTTTATACAAAAACTTAAGTTCTGTCATCATGTACTTATCCTCATGTCGCTTAAAACCTGTTTGACTTCTTTCTTTGTGAAACACAAAATGAGATGTTAGGCAGAATGTTCAAGCAGCTCTAAAACATAATAAAAGCGAATGATGCCATTAAAGGGATAGTTCACCCAAAAATGAAAATTCTGTCATTAATTACTCACCCTCATGTCACTCTAAACCCGTAAGACCTCCATTCATCAAACACAAATTAAGATATTTTTGATGAATTCTAGGTCCAGAAATAGGTCCAGAAATGTAGCAAGGAGATCGGTAAAATAATACATGTGACATCAGGGGTTCAACCGTAATTTTACGAAGCTACGAGAACACTTTTTGTATGCAAAGAAAACAAAAATAACGACTTTATTCAACAATTAGTCTCCTCCGCGTCACCCTGGTGCCATTTTGGCACGAGGGGGAGTAATTAATGACAGAATTCGAATTTTTGGGTGAACTAACCCTTTAAACTTAAAAAAAAAAAAAAAAAACGTAAATACATCATAAATAGTCAACACTTATTTTAGTATTATTTACATACTATAGTTATAAATATTTTCAATTAGCTTTTTTATAATTTTAATTTTTCAATTAAGTTTTAGTAATATAGTTGTGTGTGTTTTTTTAATAATTCTAATTAGCTTTCACTTCTTTTTTTTATTTTAGTTTTAGCTATTTTAGTATTTCAATTGACTTAATTTCAGTTAGATGCCATGGCAACATTTCTCATTTGTGCTTGTTTTTAAGTTTAGGTTTTTCCACATAGTATTTATATTTCAGATTGAACCAAAGTGCACAAGTCATATGGACTATTTTTTTTAAGAGCGCATTTATTGAGTTCTATGTCATTCTGCGTAAGAAGAAAGACTCCTACAGATCTGGATCAACATCTGAGTAAATGATGTCTCATTTTTGGCTGAGCTATCCTTTTAAATGATACAAATAAGTCTCATATGAGCACACGCACACATCAGAGCTGCTTTGAGCTCTTGACCTGCAGCCAGATGTGACAAGAACAAAAGGAGATGAGAGACAGAAACTGTGTGTGTGTGTGTCTGTGTAACCTCACCTTGTCTAACATCAAACAGACCTACATCCTCTATCCCAGGGGTGTCCAAACTCGGTCCTGGAGGGCCGGTGTCCTGAAGAGTTTAGCTCCAACCCCAATTAAACACACCTGAACCAGCTAATCAAGCTCTTACTAGGCATACTAGAAACTTGAAGGCAGGGGTGTTGAGGCAAGTTGGAGCTAAACTCTGCAGGACACCGGCCCTCCAGGACCGAGTTTGGGCACCCCTGGTCTATCCTGTTACCGTCACACATTATGAGGACCAGATACTGCAGCCACTCTTAAAGGAACAGTTCACTAAAAAAAAAATCATTTTAAATTGTAATAATTTTTCACAATTTTCCCTTTTTTCTTATCACATAAATGTAGCCTTGGTGAATACAACAGACATGAAATTCCCAAAACTTTTGAACAATCTCTCACAGCACAGGCTATTCGGTGCACCACAGGGGCCGTTCGTGGTATCTGCACATCCTCTTATTCACAGATCTGAACTGCTTTCAGCCCTAAGATCACAAATGCATCCACAATCCATCTGGCTGACAGGCGTATCTACCGATTTCCCAACAATGTGTGAGAGCTTGTGTGGTCTGACAGCTAAAGAGTGGGTTGCAAGCGCTGAACGCTCACTTTGTCTTTGCTGTGCTTTTTATTAAACAAACCTCTGGAGCGTGAGATGGACAGCAGCAGTCACTCAGAACTGTAGTAAAACAGTCAAGTGACATACATATGCATGCCAGTTTATGCACAAGTATGAAATATGCATATGTTACATGGAATTTGTAATATATACACGTGTGTGTGCATATATATGGGATATGTAAATGAGCACCTTATATATGCTGCCACTTTGTAGTAAAGCTGAAGTCTGGCATTGAGGAGACGTTCTGTACGTGGAGTATGTTTGAGTCCCAGTGTGTGTGTGAGCAGATGAGAGTGTGTGTGCTGGACTGTTCAGTCTGTTGGGTCCCACAGACCTGCAGCAAAGCACAAATACAGAACACAATGTAGGATATCACAATAATGATGTGCATTTTTACCAACATCCCAGCTAACAGGGAACATTCTCAAAACTTAACTTTTTGAGAGAACTTTATGAACAAACATTCACAGTAACATCTTCCAGTAATTTTATCTGGTCTTTAATAATGTTCTCAAAACGCTGGAATAAAACAAAATCCAATTGTAGTTGGACATTGGTCTAAAATTTTTTAAGTGTTACTTCTTGGTCCAGAATGCTCAGAGAACATTCAAAAGTAACATTCACATAATTATTGCTAAATTTTAAAATGTAATGTTCCCTTAACACTCACATAACCAAGAAATTTTTTTAAAATATATAAATATATAAAAACTAGAGAACACTGATGAATAATGATTATATAACTGAATGTGAGCGTTTGCAAAACGTTCTTTGAGCATATCTTTGTTAGCTGGGAGAAAATTGTGCTGACTGCAAAAGAAGCTTGTTCAGAAATTCGCATGGTTATGGCATCACAATCATGTGCAAATTAACCCTTGGAAATTAAAAAGTTATTGGAAATGATATGCATAAACACCTACTAATGTAAATGGAGCCATAGTTAACCTTGTACTTTAGTAATTATTTTCATTTTTGAAACTACCAGTTATCATTTGCTCTTTTTTTAGAAAGAATAATTATGTAAAATTATTCTCCACTATACCTTTGGCAAAGCCGCAAGACAAAATATATATGTATAAATCTGTATTTATATTCTAATAAATATATTGTTATAAGGAAAAATAAGATATATTCTCTAAGTTCTCTTTTATGTAGTTTTGCTTCTCAAGTAAACTGATCTCATTTTAAGGACATTTAGATGTTCTTTACTGGAAAACAAAACGAAAACACTGATCAAAAACATTATTAATTTGCAGTATAATGAGAATGAGGGGGTTAAATATGCTTAATTATCATAGTGCATAATCATAGTCAAATATTAATGGTCCTAAAATAGGTTTGATTTTCTTTGGCTTAAAACAATTTTTCTTTAGATATTTGGGATGAAAATTTTTTTTTCCAAAGGAAAGCCGTTCCCAGACTGCATGGTTATGGAATCACAATCATTTGCAAATTAACTCGCATATCAACATTTCAATGCATATTCAGAATTTAGGAACTTTCCCTGCCCTGATTAAAAATATGAACTATGGCAACACACAGAGGTAAGCCAATCTCAACTCATTTACATACAGAATTCTCAATGAGACAGTAGCAAAAACAAGTCGGTTTAATTCTACGGGTCAGATATGGAGAAAAACGGTCATGAAAAAACAAATTATGACTTTGTGTGGTGTATATACAGCATGGCCTCTTGCACCTTCAAACTGATTGTTTATTTCAGCTGTGCAGGTTTGGTACCTCAGTTTTTCGATGGTGTTCTTCTTATTGCTGGAGAACAGACTGAGAGTTTTCCTCTTAATGCACACGATTATTCCAACACACAGCAGACACAGAAACGCCACCAGGATGCCCACCGTCACACTGCTGCTGTCTGCATGTACACACACACACACACACACACACACGTTTGTGAATGGAGCAGATACTGTTGAAGCGCAGTATACGATAATAATCATGCATAAACGTTTAATACCTGTTGGTCTCATCGGGCCGCTGTCCATACTGCCTCCAAACCCAGCTTTATCACAGAACGGAGGAGCCCAGAGTGACTCACAGTGACAGTTCTCATTATTATTACAAACCTGCATGTGTGAGACACACAAACACACCAGTGACATCAGCCTGCATCACATGATTGCTGAATTCATACTCACTTTAGATTATGGAAAACGTAAGAGCATAAATGTAGTTTTATCAGCAATAACAGCACATGCTAGTGTAAATATATAAAAGAGTATGATTCAAATATCCAAGCATTACGTCACTATCTTTGTCAAAGCAAATAAATAAACTAAAAAAAAAAAAATACAAGAAAGAAAAAATATATAAGATCTATAAATTATATTTAATATATATATATATATTATATACAATACAATTTATAGATTTTGGGATGAAATATGATCCAGATATTTTATCTTGAGATTCACCTCCCTAGTAAGCCCTCAATTTAGTTGTGAAATGGAAATAAAGTACTTTTCTTTTACAAATGCAAGCATGACACCGAGTATAGGCAGGAAATTATTCAGTATCCAACTTTGCTAGCAGCATGTCTCTATGGTCTATTTGTGTTTGTGTGTGTGTGTGTTGAGCAGTCGTCATGTCCAGCGTGCTAAAAAGTCTGTAAATGCACCTCTTCAACATCTACCAAAACACTCTAACACATCCTCTTTCCTCCATTTGGCAGCATTTGTTTCTGGTTCTCTCTTGGTGCTGATGAGCAGCAGATGTTGGACTCAGAGGAACATCTTGATCTAATCTGGAGATTCATGAGCTCATTCATGGACTTCCACTATCTGTTTCTCACTATCTGCACAAACCTGGCTGTAATCAATCCGGCCTGTTCTTGAGGAAGACTGTGTTCACTGTGAGATCTTTCATGATGCTGGAGCTAAAACACGTCCGCTCTGTCAGGATTCACCCCTCAGTATTTACACAGATCTCATCTGGTCTCTAAACATGCTTTGCTTAATTAAATGTAGATTTTAAAAAGCAGGAACTCTTACAGACAATGTAAATGTGTAAAACCAGAAACCTTAGTAAAATGTATATTTCAGATCAGCCTGAATTGCATTTGCATTTTGAATAATTTGTATTAAATGTGTAAGTCTTGCATTACAATATGAGAGAGAATGACTTGAAATAAAGGTCCTCAGTGGATTTTAGTTGCATTCAAGTAAAGCCAGAATTACTATAATTATGTTCAGCATAACAAAAACTATTTCTAGAAATCATATTGTGAGTGAGCAAGACATTTCCCATTCCTATAGTATTTGCATTCATTAAAAATGTACAACTACAAAAAGAAATGACTATAATTGTGTTTCTAACTTGTAAAAATCATATTCACATCATAGTCAAACACATAATTATGAGCTCGAAACTCAAATTTTCATTAAAGCTCTGACTTTGATACATGTGAAAACAACCAAAATGTCAGAATGTATGAAAACAAGTCCTGTTGTATGCAGTTTTGCTTTCCAAGTAAATTGGTCTTGTTTGAAAGACATTTAGATGTGCTTTACTGGAAAACAAGACAAATGATATAATGAGAATTGGGAGCCCAACTGTGCTAAATTATCATAAAATGTCCATTGAGCAATTAAATTGAGGGGTTACTTAGGAGGTGAATCTTAAGATAACACATACAGGTCATATTTCATCCCAATATCTCAAGAAAAAAATGATATGCATTTTCATTAGATTTTATTTTTACAGTAATAATAATAAAATAATAAAAAAGGAATTATTATACAAATTTTCTTAGTTTTTTTAATAACTAAAATAGCTTTTCGGTAACACTTTAGTTTAGGGACCAATTCTCACTATTAACTAGTTGCTTATTAGCATGACTATTATGAACATATTGGCTGTTTATTAGTACTTATAAAGCATTTATTCTACATGACCATATTCTACATCCCTAATCTTATCCAATACCTAAACTTAACTACCTTACTCACTATTAATAAGCAGCAAATTAGGAGTTTATTGAAGAGAAAGTTGTAGTTAATGGTTTGTTAATAGTGAGAATTGGACCCTAAAATAAAGTATGACCAATTTTTCTTTATTTATTTTGGGATATATTATGACCTGGACATGTCTTCTTCAACAGTGTTCCTAGTAAACTCTCCATTTAATTGCTAATGGAAATACAAAACTTTCATTTTACAAATGAAAACATGATACAGAAATTTAGGTAGGAAATTATTCAGTATCGAAGGGGATACAATACTGTAAAATGAACATCGAGATGCTTTAAAACAATGCGTGCGCTATGCTATACATATGATTTTGACTTGAATTAATCATGTAGTCATGCACTTTGCCATCATTATGAACAGAAATCACACGAAGCCCAGTTTGGCATTATGAGTGTCGCCGTAGAAATGAATAATTTATGAGAATGAGGACAAGACGACGAGCTGTCATGTAATTATGGTAATCCTGACATGAGCGTCACATTAGATTCAGATTCCTCATCTTATCAAGAACATTTCTGCGCTGTATGGACTTCTGGAGTTAATACTGTACAGTATGTAGGTCTATGAAGATGAAACTGCTCCATTATGAGATCAGATTTAGTTCAGATGGATTTCTGGGCTGCTTAAAGTTGACATGAAATGCTGTTCACCAAGCATTCAGATACATTTCTGAGTGAAACTGTAAAGACAGTCAGACAGATATAAACTCACCCCGTGTCCGCTGCACTTGGCCGAACAGTCGTGAACCCCGAGCACACTGATGTTCTGACACTGTCTGTTTATACACATCTACAGACACACACACACACACACAGAGAGAGAGTTCATTTAGTTCTGTCAGTCAGTGATGATTGACAGCTCAACTCCACCCAAACATACTGACATGATCCATTCAAATGTCCTCATAGCAGCAAACAGGGTGGAAAAGTGTCTCATGCTGTGTATGCGTCACACGCAATTCAGCTTTATAACTTTGTTTTATTAATACTGTGATGTCAGGGTCATTTCCAATTATGTCAGGCTGTAACCAATGAGGCCATTCTTTCCTTAGCCAACATCCCTGATTTCATTCATGAATCAATTTTGACTAAACGTGCAGTTATTGAATTTTTTGCCTTTGCATGGCACCAATGACTTCTATAGGTTTTGATATAGAAATTAATTATAAGACATCAGATCAGGGTCAGAAATATGGATTGCGGCAAAATGCCAACAGTGTATAGACTCCATGAGATTTGTGACATTTGACATGCTTCATAATACACTATTCTAGGCATATCTAGTCATGGGTAAAGCTATGGGTAATAACCTGATCCATGAAAATAGTGCCAAGTTTTATATATAAATATGAGTTTAGTAAATCTATAATGAGCCTAATTTACATAGAAATGTGACATTTTGCACAATTTTAGCACATTTAACTATTGCATGTGGTGAGTAAATATGCAGTTTTTGAGCAAAAAAAAAATTGCCTATAAGTTTATATATAAAGTAAAAAAATAAAATAATAATACAAATAATATTATATATATATATATATATATATAGACAAACCTAAAGCTAATCATTAAAATAATAATAATAGACTTAAGTGACTAGTTAACAAAAAAGCAATAGTTAAACAATCCACACATACGCTCTAGTTTCACTCGAAATACCCTAGAAACAGCATAGCAATGCAATTGAACCCATTCTGCCATCTTGATGTTGGTGATCTGAACAAGCTTGAGTTACATTAAATAAGCAATGGTCATCTCATTTACTCTCTTTACCATGTTTTCTCCACACTTGGTGCCGGTGAGCACGAGGCCCGGATCCGGCATGTCGTCTCCCAGGTACACATGAGTCCCACGGCAGAGGATACGCCCTCCTTCCTGGAGCGGGATGTTGGTTTCTATGGAGACAGCATTGGTGCCAATCACCGGTCGGTTGGCTCCGCCCTGACACTGTATTTTCCCACATTTAGCATCTCTGGAAAACAAGAGGAAGAAACAAAAAGATGACTTGAGATAAAAAATAAAACAATTGATAAGTTAATAATTAATTAAAAATATATTACATATATTTTCACATAATATAAATATTTATTATAGTGCTTTTTGCATTTATTTAAGTTAACGAGGTAAAAATAATAATTATATATTACAAATAAACAAATAAAATTCTATTTGTTAATATACGTGTTTGTGTTTTACATGTTTGTATTTTTTTTTACATTAAGCCTTGATTTTTTTATTGATTTGAGATAGTATAAAAATAATAAATATATTTAAACAAATATATATATATTAAATATATATTATATATCTATATATAACATTTTATTTATTTATTTATATTTTTTCCATTAAGCCTTATTTTTTCCCTGCTGTCCAAACAGTACTGAGACCCATTTTTGGGGTTGTGAACTTATCTAAAATTCTGAGTAACGTTTCCAGTCACTAACAGATCCTGTGTTATGAATCAGAGTTTCCCAGACTGACACATCTGCAGTGTTTTCACAGCGCTGAAGTGTGTTTCCTCTGCCGAGGATCGTGGTAATGGGACATACATCTTTGATTCCAACGCAGCCAAAACACAGAGAAATAATGAGGCATCCTCTCCACTAAAGACCAATTACTGCATTCAGAGGGCAGTTTCTCACGCAGTCGCGTCCAAAAAAAGAAAGAAAGACAGACAGACAGAATGTGGCTTGAGTCCCTTTGGCCAAAATAAAGAGTCATTAGCGGCTGAAACCGTTTCTCTCTCCGTCTGTCCACTTCAGTCATTCAAGTAATTACTACATCGAGGATATGATCCGTGAAGCACTTAATAAAGCAGCCAATCAGAGCTTAACTAAAACAAAATGTATGACAGTTGTTACCTGCATATGCAAATTACTGTGACATTTTCAATAGGCTTCTGTTCTCTTTCTTTTAAAGACTTGTGTTGTTATTTGTCCGCCCATTTGATTTCTCGGTGGATTTGTCTGTGTGTGTGTGCGCGCGTGTGTGCGTGTGTGTATATGAGACAGTCAGTCAATAAAGAACAGAATGGGAAGAACCTAATGAGAGAAATTCATTTAAAATTTAATTTAAACCTAAAAAGGTAATTTTAAGAGAAAAACACTCAGTAAATAAACACTTAAAGACCTTGGGGGTTTTTGAAGGTACTTTTGATTTTCTGTTTTCCTGAAGTGCACCAACTAAAAGCAACATTGTTCCTACAGCAGGGATTCAGACACTCCTACAGAGACAGAGATTTAACACTGATAATAGCAGAAATGTTTCTTGAGCAGCAAATCAGCATATTAGAATGATTTCTGAAGATCCTGTGACACTATGCTTAAAATTCAGCTTTGATCACAGGAATAAAATGACGTTTTACAGTATATTCAAATAGAAGAGTTAAATTACAATAACATTTAATAATTTTACTGTATTTTTGATCAAATAAATGCGGCCTTGGTGAACAGAAGAGACTTCCTAAAAAAAGTATTTTTTCTAATGGAGATGTGACTCAAGTATATTTGCATAAGTGTACGAAATAATTTCCCAGATGCTTTCCTCTGACTGCTGGCTATGTGGAAATTCATAAATTGTACATAAGCATTGTTGATGGATGCACAGACACAATGTTAGTTTTTGCTATGCATTCTTCACTGCCAGCAACATTTCAGCAAAGACATCAATGAACAGATTTAAACCCTCAGGAAACACCTGAAGAACTCAGACACTAACAAAAGCTTTTCTCTGCGGTCCTCGCAAAAACTCCTGGTCCAACGTGACAGATGCATCTCATTCTTGTGCTTCTTCTCACAGCATGGTCGCAGAAAACACTGGGCTGTTTATTTCGCTCGCCGCAGATTTGGAGGAGCGACTGCTAATGATACACGACTCACTGGAGAGTTTGAAAATCGCAGCACATACACTCTTAAAAATAAAGGTGCTTCAAACTGTTCTTCAAGCGATGCCATAGAAGAACCATTTTTGGTTCCACAAAGAACCACTCAGTGAAAGGTTCTTTAAAGAACCATCTCTTTCTTACCTTTTTATAATCTGAAGAACTGTCTTTCGCCACAAAGAAACTTTTGTCAAACAGAAAGGTTCTTCAGATGTTAAAGGTTCTTTATGGAACCATTTAGACAAAAAGGTTATTCTATGGCATCGTGAAGCACCTTTATTTTTAAGAGTGTATGCGGCGCTTAAGGGAAACATGTAAATGTCGGCATGAAATGCGTTTTCAAAAAACAAAACACACACACACAAGCTCTGACGTACCTCCACATCTCCGCAATCGCACTGCTCTCCCTCCTCGACATATCCGTTTCCACATTTCTGGCCTCCGTAGAGCACCTTTACCTCCGGCATGTTGAACAAACACATGCCCACACCTTTCTCCAAACTTGCAGCGAGATCCTTCTTACTGCATGTACTGAAGACTGTAGGGAAAGGGTACCTGAAAGAAATCAGATATATTACCTCAGTGATGATTTTTAAGAAAACTGACTGTTCAGTTTTGTGACAATCAACAGATGCACACATACATGGACCAATCAGGCAGGGGAAGTCTTGCCAAGGAAATGACATCACCCTATAAGTGCTGACTGGCATGAGGACCAATGAGTCCCAGTGGAGAGAACAGCAACAGATAAGAGATATTTATAAGTCCTGCGTTTGTAAGAAATCACACTGGCTGGATTCACCAGATTGTAAATTGGAGGCAGCGGGAAATGTGTGTGTGTGCAGGACACTTCATATTACACATGGTTTCAATTGGATTGAATTATCCAACAAACCAAGATTCTAATAGACTGGTTTGTGCTCATTTGTAGTGTTTGCTTACGCAAATATCACTATTACAACCTAGAAACCGCACAGCAATGTACACACACAAAAACAACACCCTAGCAACCACCAAACCGACATTCTAAAAACCACTCAGTACAGCTATAGCAACCACTCACAATGCCCTCACAATGGCATAGCAACATGTTAAAAAAAACACTCTGAACACAACAGCAACCAAGTCAAGTCACCTTTATTTGAATAGCGCTTTATACAATACTGATTGTGTCAAAGCAGCTTTACAGTGTCAAACAGTTTGGCAATTATGGAAGACAATAACAAAGTGTCATTTTTCCCAGCTAAAGCCAGTTCATTGAGGATTCAGTGATGTTCAGCTCTCTTCCAATAGTGTCTGTGCAATCAGTCAAGCGTCCCCAGCTAAGCAAGCCAAAGGCAACAGTGGCAAGGAACCAAAACGCCATCGGTGACAGAAATGGAGAAAAAAAAACCTTGGGAGAAACCGCATACAGTAGCAATGCCCTAGCAACATTCTAGAAACCACTCAGTACAACCATAGCAACCATCCATAATGCCTGGCCAATGGCATATCAACACGTTTAATAATACTCAGAACACAACAGAAACCACATAGCAACGCCCTAGTAACTAACCAACCACCAACATTCTAAAAAGTACTCAGTACATCATAGCAACCACTTTTAATGCATTGAAAGCAGCACAGCAGCATATTAAAAAACACTTAGAAGGCCATAGCATTCACATAGCAACACCACAGCAACCACCTATAATGCCCTGAGAGCAACATAACATGTTATGAATGCTCAGAACACCAAAGCAACACCATGGCAACCACCCACATGTTAAAAACATTTAGAATGCCATAGCAATCACATAGCAACACCCTATAATTAATAGCAACATGATAAAAACATTTCAAACGCAATAGCAACTCCCTAGCACTCACAACATGTTAAACACCCACAATGCTAAGGAACATAGCAACATGTAAAAAAGCACTCAAACTGCCTAGCAACCAGCCACAAACATTCTAAAAACACTTAAAACACCAAAGCAACTCCCTAGTAACCACTCACAACATAGTAACCACCCACAATACACAGGCAATAAAGCAACATTAAAAACCACTCAGAATGCAACAACAACCACATTGCAACTGCCTAGCAACCACCCACAAACATTCTAAAAATCACATAGCAACCACCATCCAACCTTGTTGAAAAAAAACAACAAAACAAAACAGCATATGCTGGCTAGGTAAGTTTTGAAACATGGCAGCTGGTTTAAGCTGGTCCTTAGTCGGTCCTTAGCTGGTTTTTTAAACCTGTTGAAAAACTAGCTCCTGCTCAGGACCAGCTAATAACTAGCTCAGGACCAGCTTAAACCAGCTCAAACCAGCTGCCATGTTTCAAAACATACCAAACCATCATTTGCCGTTTTTTTTTCAACAGCATTGTGGAAGTGAGTTTTGAATGCATTTTGATGTAAAACTCTAGTTCTTAATTAGTTTCCCACAAGACACAGAAACACTTCCATGCATGGTGGAGATGATTTCACCTCAATTACACACACACACACACACACACACACACACACACACACACACACACACACACACACACACACACACAAAAAAAGCCCCACACATTCCTGACCATGTGTTATGGGTGAGTGTACAACAAAAATCTTAGAATGAGTAATTTTTTTTTAATAGCACAGTAACAATGTTGCTGTAGAAATATATTTATTTCTATATTAAACTAATATAATTTGTTTTATAACCATACACCTTAAAATAAATTATTACACAATTACACACACAAACACACACACACACACACACACACACACACACACACACACACACACACACACACACACACACACACAGTAAAAGTGGCCCACAAATCCACTCTGAATATCATTGCTCCCCTGTGGAGTGTAACAAAATGTTTCGCCATAGCATCTACATGACGAAATCTCAAGTTTACAAACATCCCACCAGTCAGAGAAATTACAGCCCTCGTTTCTGACTGACAGCGATGTGAGAGCTCCCAGAGAGAAGCATATGGCACATATTATGAGACTGGCTGATGAGCTCATGATCGTGAACACCATCTGTGATCAGGGAGGGTTTTTGGGAGGATTTAGTGATGTTGATTGCAGGACTCGATGCAGGTGTGAATTATTACAGTCGGTTGATTTCATTAACACACTGAACGCTACATCACTAAACATCCTGATGAATTAAATCAGTATGATTGGTTGCGTTACAACATATGCTATAGATCTGGAGGTTGAGTATTAAACACAGACATTCTTACAGACCCTTTATTTTCCAAAATTAGTTATTCTAAGAATATTTAACTAATTGCACTGCATGTTATGCCTAATAAATTACATTTTAAAATATATTACAATATGAATGAATGAGGCATTTATATAGTGCTTTATTGCGCATTGCTGTACACCCAAAGCGCTTTACAATCATATGAGGGGTCTCTCCTCAACCACCACCAGTGTGCAGCATCCACCTGGATGATGTGACGGCAGCCACAGTACAACGGCGCCAGTGCGCTCACCACACACCAGCTACAGGTGGAGAGGAGAGAGAGAGATTCAGTGGAAGGGGATTATTAGGAGGCCACGACTGACAAGGGCCAGTGGAGGGAATTTGGCCAGGACACCGGGGATGCTCCCCCACTCTTTGCGAGAAGTGCCATGGGACTTTTAATGACCCCAGAGACTCAGGACCTCAGTTTAACGTCTCATCCGAAAGTCGACATTTTGAATCATAATAATTTTTAGCAAAATTACCATTTTTACTGTATCAAATAAATGCATCCTTTGGAGCACAAGGGACTTCCTTTATATATTTAATAAAAAAAAGAGATTGACTGCAGTCCCAGCATGCCTCAGTTCTTCTGCATGAACAGGAACACAACCAGAGCTCATCTTCAAACCGCACTGCTTTATTAAACTGTCACGCAACATCATGCTTAACTGGCTAAAAATGAAGCACAGACTGGAAACTTTAATGTGTGTTCTTCAGACGGAAACTCATAACACGCCTGTTGTTGCTTGTTTTTCTTCTCGAGGTTGAAGATTACTCGAGTCCTGTGTGATTTTGATGAGTTTGTATTTGATAATAGCTCTTGAATTATTGAAATTGTTTGGCACAGATGGCTTTGACTGGCTCTGATGTGATTGTGAAGTGTGTGGCGCGTCTCTGCTGTGAAATGTCATGCAGAGAGAAACATCTATCAGCGCTATCAAACACATCGCACAGCGACAGGAACCACGGTAATCCAGGTCGTCTGGTTCTGGTCTGGATTTACAACATCAGCCAGCAAAGATCTCTCAAAGAGCACATGATGGGATATATATATATATATATATATGAAATGTTTCATATATGGTTGTTGGATTTGTTTGTACAAATTAACATTATATAGATCCGTCTGTCTGTACGCTTTCCAACATATTTTGTGTTTTGGATACAGGCTTCTCAATACGGCTTCTTTTATTTCTAAATGAAATGAAAAATGAAACCATAGGCCTAATGGTCGACATTTACTAGCTAAATACTAGAAGTGATCATACAACTTAGTGTACTCTTTCTTTTTGATCCAATACCATATACTATCAAGGAAACATAGCTGATACACCAATCATGCTATGAAATACAGTATTTGATATTTAAAAGCCATAGTTTTTAACAATTAAATGGCCTAAAATGGAAATTCCTGTAACTAAAGATAAAGATAAATAGTTCTTAATAAACTTTTTTTTTCTTTTCAAAGTTGACATACATTTTTCTGCTATATATATATATATTTATATATATATATATATATATATATATATATATATATATATATATATATATATACAAATTGAAAATGCATGCAGTTTTATGGCAATTAATTAAATATAAATAATAAAATATAAATACAAATAAAGTAATAAAATATAGAAAAAGATAAATAGAAAACAGTCTTCAATAAACTTTTTCACAAGAATTTTCCTGCTAAATAATTAGAATAATAAATAAAACTTTAAAAGAATAAAATTACTAGTTAGAATTATTATTATAATTAATAATAATAATAAATAAATAATAATAATAATTATTATTATTATATCATATTATTATATATTTGGGAACAGTAATTTTTAAGATCGATCCTCTCTATAAAACTGAACAGCATGGCTGTGCTGGTTTACCAGGTAGACCAGCACAAAACCAGTCCTAAACCAGCACAGACCAGCATGGCAATTCAAACTGGGTTGTAAAACCAGCAAAATATCAGTAGACTTTTACACTTCTGGAGATAAAAGTATGTAAAACTCACTGCCACAATGCTAGGATGACGTTTCTTTTCTCCTGCTTAACCAGTATTACATTCGTAAAGGTTTGCAACAACAAATGATGGCAGAATTTTCTTTTTTGGGTGAGCTATCCCTTTAAACTGAACGTGTAACAAGTGTTCAATAAATTCACTTTCGAAGCTCAAACTTTGGCAACCATCAAGTAAAGCGCTGGGCAGCGTTTACCTCCTACATCCTCAGATCTACAGCTTATCTTTTCAGCATGGACCAGTGTTTGGTTCAGAATCCAGTTGGCTTTGCTGTGGCCATTAGTATGCAGCAGAACCGCCGAATACTGTGATGCTCACTGCGTTTCTGGCACACATACGGAGACAACAGGGCAAACACAAGCATGGAAATCTGGCTCGTGTCGGCCCTCATGCTCGCTGGACCAACTGTACCCGGGCCAACCAGCGCCAGTGTGGTATAAGCCTGCGGGAGGACAAGAGATAAGCAGATGCTTCCTCTTGCCTCCTGATGCCAACCCAGAGATCAGCGCTCAGCGATAAGCCACAGCGACTCGAGTGTGTCTAAGCTCTCAAACACCTCCTCTGGATTGGACTCAACAGGAGGCCCACACAATGGAGATACTGCCACGGGCACAGAGATCTCGCTGTGAGTGGGGTTTGTTCTCTATGAGGGTATGAGGAGCTTCCAAAGATTCTATAGAAGCACAGGAACAAATATAGCAGCGTTAGGAGCCACAGAAGCTGGGGGCTTAATGGAGAGAGTCCTGCTGTAACACTACATCAGTATTTATGTAATATTTAAAGGGATAATTCACTGAAAAATAAAAGATCTGTTCATTTGCTCTTCCTCATGTTGTTCTGAACATGCGTGAACTTTAAAAAATATATTTTCAAGAACGCTGGGGTCCAGACAACATTGGACCCCATTGACTTTCATTGTATTTCGCAAGTCTTGTTTAACTTTTGTACGTTTTGATTGTTATGTCAAAGATTGTCTTTGGCCTCTGGCAATTTTTTTAGTTTCTAACCACAACCTGAAATGAATTTTAGTTTTTTAATTTCATGTATATTTTGAAATGAACTGAAATGAGAAAAATAAATTACAATTCAGTTCTCAAATGCTAAATTAATTTGAAGTGAGGAAGCAAACAGGAAGCAGAATTGAAAAAAGTAGAATTTAAATACCAGAAATATAGAATCTATAGACATTTTTACATTTACATATGTTCCAAGAAATTCAACGCAGTAATGCATTGTGGGAAATGTTGTTTTCCAGCCTGAAACACAATTTTTTTAATAAAATATATTTTTTAAATAAGTCGTTTATACAGTATAGTTGATTTATATGATTTAATTTATTGCAATTATTTATATTTATTAAAAAACAAACATTTGTACTAAGCTTAGGTATTTTTGTACTTTAAGTAATTAATTTAAATATACAACTTGAATTTAAAAAGGAAGCTCTGATTTTTATTTGTTTTTATTCCCCTAATTTTGATCCTGGGAATACTACATCAACTACAGTTTTCTTATGCATTTATTACCTATATGATCTACTATATATCAATTATTTATATGTATGCATAAACATTTTAATAAAACTTAAACATTTACTTTAATTGACAAAGGTCAGTTTATTAAAATATATATTTAAAAATTTATTATTACAAAAATATTTAAATACAATTAATTTGAATAAATGTAAACTTTTGAGAACCAGGGTGGAAGAACACTTCATTTTCCAGAATGCATTTCCTTAAAGTTAAACGTCTTCAGGAAATTTCTGTTCTTGTCATCCCAATTCAAGTAGGCCTATTAAATTCAAATTCACACTCATAAATTCAAAGGAGTCAATTCAGACCTACCAGCTCCAAAACACCACATAAAAACACCATACTGGTGGCTTGAGCTGTTAATCAAAGAGTCTCTTCCTGTCTAGGTGGGCAGTGCTTGTTCAGAATAAGCCGTTGATCACACGCTGTGCCGATAAAGTCTGGCTACTTGAGATTACATTCATCAAACCTGCAGGAGTGAAGGAGCTGCTTCAAACCTCAGAGGGATTTTCACCACTCACATCTTAATTAATGCAATTATATAGATGTGAAGCTCCTAAACGAGCACCTGCTGTGATGTTAAATTCATTTATGCTTTGATCTATGAAAGCTCTGTGAGAGGAGACGCAGACTAATGCGCTGTAATGGAAGAAATATCCATCTTAATTGTCTGATTCCAGATTCTCATTTGTACAAATACGTGACAAATATGTTTCTTATTTTCTGTCTCTCTGGATGAGATCTGTTTTTCTCGCCTGGTCCTTTATGAGCGATATAGATGTGAAGCTCCTAAACGAGCACCTGCTGTGATGTTAAATTCATTTATGCTTTGATCTATGAAAGCTCTGTGAGAGGAGACGCAGACTAATGCGCTGTAATGGAAGAAATATCATTTGTACAAATACGTGACAAATATGTTTCTTATTTTCTGTCTCTCTGGATGAGATCTGTTTTTCTCGCCTGGTCCTTTATGAGCACATCACCGAGCGTCCCGTTACGGGTTTTTCATGGGTGCAGTCCAGCTAAAACACTTGTGCGGATGAACTGATACACACTAGACTAGAGGATGCTGGGATTGAGTTGGCCGGTGTGCGACCATCTGCCTCATGAGAAATCTAACATGGCCTGCAAATGTGTGATTTACTTGCTGGAATCACACAAGACAACTACCTTTACAGACTCAAAACTGCTGCCAACCATTTCTTGGGAATGCCACACATTAAATGTCTCTATATCTGAAATAGGTGTCATGAGAAATCCCATCTGTTTCCATGACAGCACTGCCTCTCAGCCAATCAGAAACGCCAACTGCCTGGCAATCATTGTGCATGTTGAGTTTTTCTGTGATTCTCCTGACCCCATTTCCCATCTCTCTTCTCAAATTCCAGTCAATCTTTCTGTCCAATAAAAAGCCAAAAGTTCAATCTCATTCATAGAAATCCACAATCACTTTCTGATGAGTAAATATGTGCTGCTAAACAAGTGTGACACAGTTTATTCCTAATCAAACCCTTATTGTTTTATGAATTTAATCAATATGTGCTAAAACTGACAACCTAACTCTAAGACCTCTAACACTAGCTTGCTTTATTCTTTTTCTATTCTATCTGTTTCCTTTTTATTTATTATATTACTTAAAAAACCCTTGCTACGTGTACTGCGTTAAGCTAACTGAGACTTGTTATAGCACTTGTATATCATTGCTCTTTTGTTGATTTTGATTGCTTCCATTGTCCTCATTTGTAAGTCGCTTTGGATAAAAGCGTATGCTAAATGAATAAATGTAATGTAATGTAAAACTGTCTCCATGTTTAGTACGAATGTGTTTAATTCATGTGTTTAGAGTTGTTTCTTCATCACAGGTCTCAGAACATCTGACCATAAAACCAGTCATCTCGTCTAACAGATGACAGAATAAATTAGCAACAAGTTGCACAAGCTCTGATGTTTTTATGAAATGAGTCCCAGCTGGTTTGTGCTACACAGACGTCATGAACTAGCGGGGTCAACTGGAAGTATGCTAATGAGTGTGTGGCTAAAGGCTAAAGGCTAATAATGTCCTGCTGGGTGGGGTGTTAAGGTCTGCTGTTGTGCAGACCTAAATGGAGCTCATTATGGGGTAATGAGGCAGAAAGAGAGCGAACCGCTAACTAACAGAGAGAGCCGTCATGTGGCGAGCAGGCCAGAAATTCTGGGTAAAACGGAATAAGAAACTGATTCACACTCGCAAAGTCAGCTGGTGGGTCTTACTGGATTTTACACAGAACTTTTACAGTGGGTCTTTTGTTCTACTGCTGAAAGCAAAATATAAAAATAAATATATATAATTATAATTTTATTTTTTTGCAGAACCCCGGAGTCAAAATAACATCAATCTCTTTCACAAACAAAACTGAATGAAAAATGCTGTCAATTACTTTAAAAAAAAAAACACTGTTAATTTTTCACAATATTATATTTCACAAAAGTTTTGCAGAGTAAAAACAGTCAGGCAGATTTGGAGCAACATTAGGGTAAAGAAAACAGAATTTTAATATATTTAATATATTTTTTATATATATCATATATTAATTAAATATTATATGATTGGCTTCTTATAAAATCTCACACATTTTCTTTTAGATCAGTTTAAAAGGGTTAAAATATTAATATTGAAAATCGATAACATTTTAAAAATACATATGATTTTTTATAAATAAAAATATTAATATTGAAAAAAATACCAAAATATTTTTCATGATCATATGGTATTTTCATATTTTAAAAATATTTAAAACAATTCTCAACACTATATAACACCAAAATCTATTAAGATTTAAAATATATTGATATGTTTTAAATATATTCATATTTTAAAAAATAATAATATTTAACAAAAAAGCAAACAAAAATTATTTTTCACCTCTGTGGCACCAAATATATTCATATTTGAAAGAAATACTAATATAAAAAATTTTTTTCACCACTATATCTCACCAAAATCTTTTAATATACAGTATATTGATATTTTTAAATATATTATTATTATTTTTTAATTAACATTAGATGATACTGGGATACCAGCACCATACATAAAATAATAGGTTTGAATTATTAATCGGTATTATATAAAAAAATTAAAATTAAAATAACCACATCACATACGTTACTGCAAAAATAATAATGGTTTCCAAACATGTCTGTCATTGGTTGGACAAAACAGGCAGTCCCGCCCCCAAACTCATGCCATTGGTTAAAACCAGAACAGATTAAAGTTCTGAAAGCATCACAGAGCTTCAGTGAAACAAACCTGCGAATGGCCTCATTATAGCACATTAAACTGATATGGGAATGTTTTAACATAAAAACAGCTTTAAGAATCTCATTTGCAGAACTGATGCAGTTTTCTCACCCAGTGGATGGGGTCATTATACACCCGCCGCGGTCCACGGTGGCTCTGCAGCCGCAGCCGCGCTCCGGCGTGTCGTGGTTCATGCCAAAATTGTGTCCGAGTTCATGGGCCAAAGTAACCGCAGCGCCAAGAGGGTCATCGGAGTGATCCTTAAGACAGAGAGAGCGAGAATCAGTCAAGTGCAATAAAAATAGATGCTTGGTGAATTCAAATAAGCAATCAATTTCAATTTAAAACAAACAAGAGCAATTTCTTCCTCTGCAACCCCCGAGACTCGAGAGGCGTTATCCGTCCTGCTCCACCTTCCCTCCCCAGATTACATTTATCCCCACATCTCTCCTCCTGCGTGTTTGTTTTTCTCTCAGAAAACGGTTTCACATGAGATCTGTAATGAGCAGACACTAACGGCCTTCTAATTACTTTTCCACAAATCCATCAGAGCAGCATAACTGGAGATTCGCTGCTGTAATTGCAGACCGTTCTGCAGGCTTTGTTTGGGGAAGGGTGTGTGCTGATGAGGCAGGACAGACACAATTACAGTCGCTTTGGTGAGGACGTGTCTGCCAAACACGTGAAAATCTAATTAAAATGAAGGAAAACCGCCAGATTCACTTCAGTTCTGAGTGATCATTCGTGTCAGATAATGAGCATGAGGAAAGTTTTATTGCTCAGAAGGTGCTCTTTCGGAGCTAGAGAGACTTGGAAACCAAATACTGGAACAAAATGATTTTTAAAAAGTTTGGGGTCAGTTAGGAGTTAATGCTTTTATTCATCAAGGATGCATTAAATTGATCAAAAGTGATGGTAAAGACATTTATAATGTTTCAAAAGAACTTTCTATTCATCAAAAATCCTTAAATAAATCATGGTTTCTACAAAAATACACTGTAAAATTATTTTCTAAGTTATAATAAAACAGATTACTGGAGTACGTTTGCCAAGAAAATACTGTTTAATGCTGTGTGTTACTTTCAATTTCTTTATAATAATTATTATTTTTTTTAATTTACAAGCTATTTCTGAGTGAAAATGTTTTCTGAAAATGTTTTCAAAAATGGTATATATTGCATGTAAGGACCACATTTAATCAAAAAACCTTTACAATTATTGCTGGCATGATCACGTGTAACTTTACAACTTTAAGCTGTCCATGGGCATTTATAAATGTGTTAGGCAAAAATGCTGATGCTTATGAATCCGGCACATTCTATAATGAGCCTCATTTGCACAGAAAGGATGCATGTTTGTCAAAAGAATGACTTAATTTAAATATGCATGATGCAATTTGCCTTCAGATTAGAGGAGCATTTGACGGACAGTTTAGAGGGTGTTAAAAGAATCAGATCAGTTTGAAATCAAGCAGGAATACAGCAAATTGCATTTCCAGAAGCCTTGGTTAAAGGATGCTTATGTCCGAACGCAATGTGGCAAAAGTTGCAATTTTCTCACTCTAGAGGACACAAATTTCGGATTACTGGGTGTGTTTTTTTTAAAGGGGTCATATGATGCTTTTTTAAAGATCATTATTTTGTGTATTTGGTGTAACAGAATATGTTGACATGCTTTAATGTTCAAAAC